ATATATATATATATATAAGGACTGGTTAACTGGTAACTTGGTTGGAATGATGGTAATCTGTTAGAAAATCTTAAATCAATTTAGCAACAAAAAAAAAGTAAAATTTGACTGCAATTTCCTTAAAAATCAAAATAAACTAGAAATATGTCCATAGGACATGAATGCCCTGCCGAGGGTATATTAGTAATGCAACATTTTAACACAAATTGAGAAAAGTGAGGTCAAGGTAAAAGGAAATGTCAAGGTGAAAAAATATTGATGCAGTTGAATAGCTTACATTAGTATGTATCAGCATATGAATTTTGACACAAATTTAAGAAAAGTGAGGTCAAGGTCAAATGAAAGGTCAAGGTCAAAAAAAAAAATTGTTTATGCAGTTGAAAGGTTACATTGGTATGTATTAGCATATGAAGTTTGATAAAAATATTATGAATGGTTTTAAAACTAAGCTAAACACTTATTAAAGAAAAGTGAGGTCAAGGTCAAAGGAAAGGTCAAAGTCAAAAAATATTGATGCAGTTGAATAGCTCTCATCAGTATGTATCAGCATATAAAGTTTGACACTAATTTAAGAAAAGTGAGGTCAAGGTCAAAGGAAAGGTCAAGGTCAAAAAATGTTGATGCAGTTGAATAGCTCTCATCAGTATGTATCAGCATATGAAGTTTGATAGCACTATCTTGAATGGTATCTTTAAAACTGAGCTAAAAACTTATTTAAGAAAAGTAAAGTCAAGGTCAAAGGAAAGGTCAAGGTAAAAAATACTGATGCAGTTGAATAGCTCTCATCAGTATGTAACAGCATATGAAGTTTGTTAAAAATATCTTGAATGGTTTCATTAAAACTGAGCTAAACACTAATTTAAGAAAAGTGAGGTCAAGGTCAAAAGGAAGGTCAAGGTCAAAAAATGTTGATGCAGTTGAATAGCTCTCATCAGTATGTATCAGCATATGAAGTTTGATAACACTATCTTGAATGGTATCTTTAAAACTGAGCTAAACACTAATTTAAGAAAAGTGAGGTCAAGGTCAAAGGAAAGGTCAAGGTCAAAAAATGTTGACGCAGTTGAATAGCTCTCATCAGTATGTAACAGCATATGAAGTTTGTTAAAAATATCTTGAATGGTTTCATTAAAACTGAGCTAAACACTAATTTAAGAAAAGTGAGGTCAAGGTCAAAAGGAAGGTCAAGGTCAAAAAATGTTGATGCAGTTGAATAACTTACATCAATATGTATCAACGTATGAAGTTTGATTACACTATCTTGAATGGTATCTTTAAAACTGAGCTAAACATTAATTTAAGAAAAGTGAGGTCAAGGTCAAAGGAAAGGTCAAGGTCAAAAAATGTTGATGCAGTTGCATAGCTCTCATCAATATCTATCAGCATATGAAGTTTGATAAAAATATTTTGGATAGTTTCTTTGAAACTGAGCTTTGAACAGAGCTAAACGCAAAGTGTGATGGAAGGACAGACGGAAGGACGGAAGGACAGAAGGATGGAAGATGGACATGACAAACACTATATGCCCCGGCCATATTCATGGCGGGGCATAAAAATCTAAACATTGATAAGTTTTTCACAGATCTATTTAAGCTGATTCGGAGTAATTAAGGCTCTCCAGATTGAGATTGCCGGGGTAATTTTGCTTCGAGATATTTTATTTGTTTTTGTCAGATTGAGAAGTGTTAATTGTAACTTACTGTTAAAACACCATGTTGTACTCAAAGTTATAGTGAAAGTTCATCAAAATGTATTTTGTATAAAGAAATAATTGATACATTAGATTCAAAAAGATATCTTGAGAAGCGATTGACATACAAAGAAAAGTCTGTGTAAAGTATATAAATATTGAATTTCTGCACATTCTTTGAATATTGAAAATGAAGGGTATAAAAACCTACCCTGAAATGAATAAAAATGTTGATTTTGTAAGATGAAAGAAGTAGAAGGTAAATTTCACTTGTAAAAAATATATTAAGCCTTGATAGGTCCCTTAATATAAGTATGACTGTGTATATATATATATATATATATATATATATATATATATATATATATATATATATATATATATATATATATATATATATATATATTGAGGAATGACTCTAATTCTTGGCCAAATTATTCGAGTATAACCTGGTTTGGGTCAGTTTACGCTTTATAATCTGCGAAGCGGATTATAAAACAGCGTAAACTGACCCAAACCAGGTTATACTCGAATAATTTGGCCAAGAATTAGAGTCATTCCTTATAATTTAATTTTAAAATCATTAAATAACTATGGGTGTAAAATTTCTTTGCTTTTTATTAGTTCAAATTTGCCGCTCAATAATACAACCGTAGTAACGGAAGTAACGGAAGTGATGGGAAGCGAGGGGATGTAAAAACTGATACATAGGCCTAGCAGCTTGTTTACATGTGGTAAGATCGAATTATTGTTTGAAGTTAAAGGTACATTTATTAAATCTGGAATTTTCCACGAATCCCGAGAACTGGAAATGAGAGGACTGTATGGATACAGATGATTCAGCTGGTTGTCGGGGGGGGGGGGGGGGGGGGGGGGGGTGTCCCCATACCAAACCAGGTTATACAGAAATAATTTGTGTTCCTTTTTGGATATTAACCAATCAGAGGCTAGAATACAAACAAAATTAAATTATATATATATATATATATATATATATATATATATATATATATATATATATATATATATATATATATATATATGTATGTATAGAGAGAGAGAGAGATGGGGGACCCTCTGAGGGCTGTCATATAGGAAAGTGACAACTAGATGTACTTGAACTTACAATAAAATACAGCACAAAAGGAAGGTGACATGGAAAAAAATCACTCATATATATGTGTTAGAATTATTAACATTTAAAACAGACAGGCTCTAAATTATTACAATACCTATATACTGACCATCACATAATAGTTATATATTTTCTGCTTACTGCTCATCACTTCTATTAGATAATCTTACATTAGAGATATAAATTCTGTGTAGAAAATAGTACCATTAGAAAAAAAAAAAGAACAACTAGCAAGTGTACTTTTATTGTTTATTAAGGAAAACTTGAAAATTAAAAACATCTGAAAATGTTATCAGTGTGATCAGTACTATTCAAATATTAATATGTCAGACACACCTGAGACAATTATAGAATTATTTCATTTACAGAATGTCCTTGACCTATAAATACAAACAACAAATAAGTACTGAAGTTAGGCTTTGAGTACTTGAGAAAAAAATTCACATATGACTTACATGTATTGGTGCCTGTAAAACACTATCCCAAAAAAATTTCATGTCCAGTGTCTCAGAATAAAGAATCTATAACCCTCTTCAGATGTTAATACAGAGATATGGAGAGAAGGTTGGTGCACTAACACATCATAATCACAGATGTACTGAGACTATCGGCAGGTAATCCCAACACATGTTGGATAAGTAATAATATAGTATGCCTATACTGCTAACAAGATTCTATCTTTATATTTGTTTCAGATAATACCATCTACGTGAAGGAATGAGGACTAATCATTCATAATCAAGATTATAATATTATTAATCATACTTTATCATACTCCATAAAAAAAGGAATTTTGGCAGTTCTACAGAATGCCAACCTCATTTGACCTGGATTGCAGACAAAGTTGCTGATTAGTGAAGCAGGTGAAATCAAACTAATACCATTAATGCCACTTATACACACACCCTTAGTTAAAAATACATGTAAAGAGACAAAACTCTTCGTAGATACCTTGATCTTGCTGAGTTAGATGCAATGTGTTTCTCCTCAAATTTTCAATCTGGGAAACTTGGAGTGATGAAAGAGTCAATTTAATTTCTAATGGAGAATGAGATGCTAAATAGATAATCAATCTTCAGAATATTGAAAGTCCTCTGTTCTATCAATATAAAATATAGATTTCTTCAGAGATTTGAATGATTTAACAATTTTTTTGTTTCGCCTCTAAAATGTTTCATTGATTTTCATGGCACTTCACACATTATGTTTGGAGTGGTAAATGGTCTAACACGAACAATCCAATTAAAGACGAATTATCATTCTAATCTATTTAAGAGTTCTCATCTGACAAAATGTTCTAGTTAAGGTAGTACAAAACAGATAGGCCAAAATTTTCTTCAAATTAAATTTTTTTTTAAAACTACAAAACTTTGTTCTAAGATGCAAAACATCTCTTTATGTGTAATGTAAAAGAAATTCAGCCTCACAATTTTCATCCACATAGTTTTTAATATATAGCCCATCACACCCCTATAAGAAAAGGGTGGAATCAGACATTCAACATTTAGAATGCACATTGTTTAAAGATTACCATTTGATATATATTACAAATGTGTGTGAAGCTGTTTATAAAGGTAACCTTTCTGTTACTATAATTCTGTAAAATATACTGATAAGAGTATATTTGAGTACACTGTGATGTAAAAATAGAACATCCATAGTTCGGAAATATTTTTGTAGATTAAAAAAATTTCAGTGCAAAAATAATTAGATTAAAAGAATCAGAAGATGATGGCATAATATTTACCTTTTACCTCTAAATATGACCTTGACCTTTAAGGTACATAAAGCATGGATATTCCTTATACATTATGTCCAAATATCAGGTCTTTACAATGAATGAGTCAAAAGTTATATTTTATGAATAACAGAGATTTAAATTGAATGTCGAGGACATAAACACATTCTAAGTAAAGAAGGCTCAAGAATGTCCATGATATGGGATGTCTCCAATTTTTTACAGAATAGGGTAAATATCTGCCATAGTTTATATTTGTTTCTTAAAAAGATCATTGATTATTGACATCAGAGTGGGAAAAAAAGTAATTTCACAGGTCTTTTGTACTACCTTACATGTCCAAAATGAATCTACACTCTAACAGATTGAGGACAAAATTGTTGATATTGAAACACATGGTACATTTGAATATCAGGGGGAGCTAACTGGTTACTTACTGGGTTACTGATTTGTCTCCCCAGGGACAAGGACTCACTCTCCTCTTGGTCACCACCCCTGCTGACTCTAAGGGCAGCCAGTCGCCTGCGGAACTCCATCTCTCCCCACTACCATATCTACCAATAAAAAAATATCTAAACTTTTACATTTTATTGTAGTTACCTTACCTCAAATAATGAACTTATCACTTCCTCCCAGAATAACAATAATCTTATATGATGTACACAGTGACACTGTATCTGTTGTGTACATAAACTTGCATAATAGTCAACCACTGCCAAGTGCTGTAATTAAATTAATAAATCAAATAAGAAACATTCATTTACAACAAAACTATCCAGAACATTTTTCTTGTATATTATCAAAAGTTTAATGTACAGCATTCATATTGCATTTGTAACTTTTTTTATGTTTGTTAAAACATCCAACGATACATTTTCCTTGGTACCAGTGATGCAGAATGTCTGGAAGGGAAAACAAATATATGACAACTATTAGTGTCAAGTTAATTTACTATCTAATTAGGATGATATTCTCATGTAATCAAACAGTCTCCTGAAACTGTAATAAACATGCAATTGCTACGAAAACAGTGTGGAAAGGGGAGTAACTCCAGCTGCAGTTTTTTTTTCTTCTGAATTTCACACCATGATTACCATTTAATAAAAATTATTTCATCTGATTTTCAAGTAATTTTAATCAAACAACTCTATTTCTTAAATAAAAAAAGCTCAAAGGGTATCAGCTGTAGACTTAGCCATCAAAAAAATTAATAATAATAATATGCAAGTAGAAACATAAGGAAAAATTTGGGTTTACATGTATTTTTATCTTGCGTAATTTCGATCACTTCCTGGTACCACTAACCTGTGCCTATAGATACGATTGACAAGTAAACTAAAAAATGAGGACCTTTGGTTTAAATACAAATTTAGTACTGTATGTAAGATCTTGAAAACAGTTGTCAGTTTTTGATGAACTTTTAAGTCATGGAGGAACACTTCCGAATCTTTAAAATCTTTTTCAATATAAAAAGAAAAAAATTAAGTACAATGTGTACTAGAACCTATATCCCTCACAAAATGCACTAGTATGACAAAAAAATCATCATACATTTAAATTGTTCTCTCATACCAATGTCACATGGTTTCAATGACTGGTAACAGTGAGCCAAAAATGTTCAAGGCCATTTTATTTTAAAATTAAATTTAAGCCATGTTTTAAAAGTTTACTATGTCATCAAAAATTCATGCAACATCAATATTCTTAGTGAACTCATATAAAACAATTGCAGTCTTCTTTACTGGGCTTTACAAAGGAAACTAAACACGATAAGAAGAATTAGATAAAAGCTATGTAAAACATTTGGAATGGGTTGGTCAACTAGAGGACTCAACAATTCCAAAATTTCAAATAAATCATTGCCTCACAAGAAAGAGTAAGATAGCTAGAGTTCATATAACATGAAAAGCATGAATAAGTACTACAGGCAGTTTACATCTTACAGACAATATATTCATCCAATGACTACAAAAATTGCATGAAGCAAATGTCAAAATAATTAACACAAACTAACTTACAGATCTACATAACTTCCTAATTCGTCTGCTAATCATCACCAAATAAGACAATATAATGCAGTCACCAAATGTCTGCAAGATAATTAAATATTCCAAATTTCCTGAGAGATCAACCCACAAGTTTTATAGGACAATTCCTCCCAATGGAAATCAAGCCAACTACTCTGTTCTCCAAGACTGCCCCACATCTTGGTTTTTTTTCTTGTAATTTTGTTATATGTGGTATGTACTAGATAAAACAATATGACTGTCATTTATCTGTATATCTTCATAGACTCAATTGAAGCATGCATGCAGTATTATCAGTTTTTGGGTAATACACTGTACATTATTGATTTCATTAATTTTCTGGAATGTACAGTTTTACACAGTAGAGTTTCAAGGAGGAGATCATCCCACACATCAAACACCAGCATGGAATTAATCAATTTAAAACTGAAGATTGATGTGACCTGGGACAATGTATTTTACAGCCTTTGTAGTATAGGTGTAACATGAAATTGCGCAGAAGTAATATTCATCAATATTGACTATTAATGAGAAATACAAATAACACTATACTCTGCAAAATTAATAAAACATTACAGCAATGATAGTTTTCCAGGTTATTGAATTAATTATGGAGTATTATAAATAGTTCATTAGACTGACCCAGGTCAAACTTGATTCTTCGGTCATGAAGTGCAAAAATCTAACTGACAGGACTCAGAATTCACATGTTAGTACGGATCTGAACATTTTAAAATTTCATTTTTGTACTTTTTACTGAACTACAAAGAAATGTGTTCTACAATAATTGGACAACCACAATTGAAATACCTGTTACACAGTATTACATTATCAATATAGTATATCCTTTGCACAGCCATAGCATATAAGAATGCAAAATGGCCACAAATCCCCTCGCTGGACCCCTGGGTAAGATATAGCATATAAGGATAGATCATAAGGGGAAGTTGTATTCTATCGGTTGTTAAGGGGGACCAACCAACTGATAAGAGAGATAACTTTCCAAGTAAAAAACACCTAGAGTTTATCTTACCGAAGTTTATAGTAATGGAGACCTTTGATTGACTGATTGGTTGATTGCATGTTGTTTAACGTCCCATTCAAGAATTTTTCACTCACATAGAGACATCACAGTATCCTGGTAAAGGGCTTCAAATTTATACATTTACTCAGCACTCAGTCAGGGTCACTGAGCAATGAGGGTTCTTTATTGTGCCAATGCCTACCATAACATGGGTTTTTAAGGTCTCATCTGAAAGACCCATGACTTTCACTTCTAATGCTGGGCGCTTGGCAAAAGAACAGTCACTTCCTAGGTTTACCTCTTAAGTTTGAAGTGGTGTGGCAAACAAGAATCAAACCTGGGCCTTCCAATCAGGAAGCTAATGCCCTACAACTAGGCTACATGACCAGTTGAGACCTTTGAGTAGTCAATTCATTCAGACCCCCAATAAGACAGAAACATTGACTTTTATTTCCTTTTGCCTATATTTTTCATAATGTTTTATTACGCTGTAATGAAAAAAAAAAAATAAAATAAAAAATTTACATCCAGATTTTTAATCCTTGCAGTCCAATCTTTTTATAAAGACTTTTAAAAATGCATTAATGTATCATTTTTGTACCAAATGTAGAATTTTTATTAGTATTACATATTTTTCATAGAAAAAAAAATTTAAGAAAGATAACTCTTGCTGATGGATGTATTATTTTCTTACATTGTGATATTCTGATTTAGGAAGCAGCACACTTTATTGTTTTCTTACATGAATTTAATATGGGACTAATCATTATTTTCATATACATTAGTATTTTTAAATTTATGTTCTGATAATAAATTATTGCTCCTCCCATTCTCATTTCTGAAAAAATAAGCACCAGTTCATTCCATTTGAATCTAATGCTATAGTTGTTGATGAAAATCAATGTTGGGAAGTTTAACAAAATTTGTGAAGTTTAGAGCAGAGGGTCATTACACCTTAAAATACAAAGTTCTGATTTATTCTGTCTGATGTCATAGATCCTCAAATACATGTGACAAGCATTGGTGTTTCTTGAAAGCATTTTCCCAGACTTCCAAAACTTATTAAAGATGATATAGGTTGCACTTAATAGGCTGCACACAATCTAGGCATCAAGTCAAGAAAAGGTAACAAAAGAAAAAGAGGGAAGAAAGGCCAAAAAAATTGCACCCTTAATTATCAAAGCAAAAAAAAGGTCTTTTGTGCATATTTCTTGGTGAGGTGACCCCTCCCCCATAATCTTTAGACACTGGAGGACCAATCCCAATGCTCATTGTAGCACATTAAAGATTATATAGTTACTTTTTTTGATGTAGAGCATGTATTGATACAGTGGTTCATATCTTTAATGATTTTTTCCCCTACAACTCATCTTCAGGGGAACATTTCTTGAAATCTCCAGCCTTAGGAAGGATTTATGATAAACTTCAGCCATGTGGCATGGAATCTGGAAAATCAGGTTTATATTTGATGTAATATAGAAAGGTTTCATCACTTTTTATAACTATGACAATTAATTTTGTCCAAAAAGTGATCAGAAGTAAAGAGGCATAGTGAATTTTGCCCTACCATCTCAAAAAAAGTTTTTATGCCCTCTTACCAAAGATTTGGGGGTATATAGCTTTTGCCCTGTCCATCCATCTGTTTGTCTTTTAGTCTGTTTGTCCGCAAAAAAATTTAACCTTGCCCATAACTTTTGATTGATTGGAGCTATGGCTTTCATATAACACATGTGTATTCCTTGGGACACGACCTTTCTTTGGTAACACCATATTTGACCTTGACCTTGGAGTTTGACCCAGTTTTGCAAAATTTTACCAAACTTTAACCTTGGCCATAACTTTTGAACAATTGGTGCTAGGGCTTTCATACTTCACATATGTAATCCTTGTGACAAGATCTTCCTTTGGATACCAACAACTTTGACCCTTTGACCTTGACCTTGGAGTTTGATCTACTTTTGGAAAACTTTAACCTTGGCCACAACTTTTGAACGTTTGGTGCTAGGGCTTTCATACTTCACATATGTAATCCTTGTGACAAGACCTTTCTTTGGAAACCAACAACTTTGACCCTTTGACCTTGACCTTGGAGTTTGATCTACTTTTGGAAAACTTTAATCTTGGCCATAACTTTTGAACATTTGGTGCTAGGGCTTACACAACTTCACATATGTAATCCTTGTGACAAGACCTTTCTTTAGAAACCAACAGCTTTTACCCTTTGTCCTTGACCTTGGCATTTGACCTACTTTTGGAAAACTTTAACCTTGGCGATAACTTTTGAACAATTGGTGCTTCGGCTTTCACATTTCACCTGTGTATTTCTTTGGAGAAGGCCTTTCCTTGGGCACTATTAATTCTGACCATTTGACCTTGACCTTGATGTTTGACATACTTCTGAAAAAAACATTAACCTTTTCAATATCTATTCAATGGTTGCTGCTAGGACTTTCATATTTCACAGGTTTATTCCTCGAGACAAGACCTTACTTTGGGTACCAAT